GGAATGGATGAGCTGATCTGGAATGTCCACATCTATCTCCATTACTCCCTTTCAAGGAGTCAGAAGAGAGTGCTTCAGGGTCTGTGTAGGGACTTTGAGTTGACCTTGTTGAGCATGCTGGAATGACTAGATTGTCTCTAGTTCCTGTGACCAGTCTAGCAAGCACCAGCCCTGCGTGGCTCCTGAGAAGTTGGAGCTCAGGCTGTCTAGCTAAGTCTGAGTTGCTTAGGCAGGATGTGCAGGGCAGGGGTAAAGTTGGGGACTGTGCTGTGACAGATGCAACCTGGCTTCAAAGCCTCACAGCCTCCACTGAAGCTGCTGGATCCAGCCAGCTGGGCGCTTTGGTAGCAGCAGCATCTTTGATGAACACAGTGAAGCTCATTCGCTTGTGCTTTCCTCCCCGCTCTCACAGAAGCAGACACAGGGCACAAGGGTCACTAGAAATACGGTTGAATGACTATGGAACAGAGTCCCTAAGGGCCATCACACCAATAAGATGTGGCCCCTGGCATGGCTGGGCACATCTCAACAATAGAATACATTCATCCTGGCACCTTGTATCCTCAGTTGTTAAACCCTCCGATCAGAGTCTAGCTAATCAAAGAACACTCCCTCAAATGTTTATGAGTGCCCAGAACTCACTGGGGACTTCATTTCTGGGAGGTTTTCTGGGAAATCTTGATCCATAGTTGGACTGGTAGCTTGAATGCCACAGGGTAGTGTAGTACAAGTAGCTTTAGGAGCCATGTAAGGACTTAGGTCTGCATCCAAGCTGAAGTGGTACCTTTGGACAACAATGGGAACATTTATTTATACCTCCTCATCCGATAGGGAAGCCAGCAGCCATGCATGGCTACTAAACACTTGTAACTAACACATTCAGTGCAACCGAAGATGGGGACTTGTAATTTCGCTTTAATTAAATTAAATTCTTACTTGTGGATAATAAATGGCATATCAGATAATGTCACTTTAGAAAGTGTCTCAAGACTGTGGTTCATGAAAGAACTCATTTGAAGGAATGGCTGCCCATTTCCTGGGAGAACCAAGAACAGTGAATTCGAGATCCCTTTGAAAAAGGCACACTTCAGGCTGGAGAGATGGCTTAAGAGTACTTCCTGCTCTTTCAGGGGACCTGGTTTGGTTCCCAGCACCTACATGATGGTTTCTCAACTGCTTGTAATTCTAGTTCTGGAGGGTCTGATGCCCCCTTCGCAACTCCACAGGCTCCTGCATGTATGTAGTATGCACTTACATGCTACACATCTACACTCAAGCACACACACATACACATAAAATAAAAGAAATAAATATTTAAGGAGAAGAAAAGTTTGAGGTAAATGACAGTAACGCCCATTTACATATCTTTGGTTTGGGCACAAGTCTCCGAAAAGCTTTGGGGCTCCAAGAGAGTCTAGTTGCTAGCCCTGGGAATCTGCCTGAACCATGTATCTAGTTCAGTTTTGTCATCTCCTCAGCCATGTGACCTTGGACTTGTTCCCTTTCCAACCTTGGCACGGTCTCAGATGCCCAAATTCCTCTACATCTGAGAACCAGCACTGCCCACCCAACAGAAGGTACCCCGGCAGGGGAGGGCTACCCAGCTGGGCACCGTTGGCCTGGCTTACACTGGTCCAGCCAGGGCAGAGAGTAAGGCTACAGTGAGGAGCTGGGAAATGGATAGGGGACAAGGAGGAACCATGTGTTCATTGCAGGTCTTGATTTCTCATAGCCAGTCTGGGGTACAGCTAGGGCACACTCTGAAGTCAGAGGTGGCCCTGGAGGGTCTTGAGGGAACTTTCCACAGTCCAGGTCTCCATTCATTATCTGCTCTTTTTTAGGGGTGTCCCTGAAGGCATGACATAGATAATTTATTGAAAGTGAATCATTCTCCATGTGCTTTGTATGGGTAGAAATTTTATCCTTTTCTCTCACTGGGCACATGGGTGGGGACACCAATATCTCAGCTCCTGAGCTGTAGAATGTTTCTAAGAGTCTGTACTCTACCTCAGAAGTGTTCCCCAGATAGTCCGCTCAAACACTCAGTGTTCCCTTTAGTAAAGTTCAACACATATTTCTAGAGACAATGGAAGAAACTTCTGGAGATATCACAACAGGTGTTTTTGCCATCCTCTGGCTGTGTGATCTTGAGGAAATTATTTAACTTCTCTGGGCCTCAGTCTGTTAATGTGTCAACTGCAGATAAGGACAACACTTGCTTTATTCAGTTATTATTTCAGTGAAGGGCAGGACAAAGGATGTCTGTGGAACATTCAGAACAGTATCTGGCACAAGGTGACTCCCATTGTTAGTGTTCCCGTTGCCATTTGATGTGCTCGTAACCTGGGATGGAGACAGCCATCACTTCTGAATCACAGGCTCCACCAGTTTAAAATCAGAAGGGTATACAGTACATCAACTTGCTCTGAGAGGTGGTGGGCGATCAAGGTAAAATGGCTGGAAGAAGTTGGACCTGGCTACATTAACTCTAAGAATCCAGCTAGGCTCATCTCATAGCAACCATATGTGCAGGGGCTTTGGTAGCTCATTGCAGCCCAC